TTAATACTTTTTAGACTACTTTTTGCTTTTATAAATTTAACCAAAAACGGAAATCGATATCGATACCAGTGGATGGATAACAAGTCTATGCGTATTTTAATATATTTACCTTCGACAACTGATAAGTTTGCCCTAAAGCGAGGTAAGGGGCGAATTTATTTTTATTTTTGATCTCGCTGCTGCTGATGTTGGTTCAATTAATAATCTTGATTATCGGGTGATTTGTTGTAATAAAATTGTTATGCTTTCACAATAAAACCCGTGTCAAAGGCCATTGCTGTGACTCTGTTTGCTTTGGTTCTTTAGAGTAGACATTTAAATTCATATGTACACTTATATATCTACATATATATATATATGTATGTATATTTCTAGAAACTCTGATTACATTTAATATGTGTGCGTTTATGAATATTTACGATATGGAAACGTACATACATTATCATATTTAGGCACATGCAAGTACGTATGAATATGTGTGCATGTATAGTCTAAAACACAAGAATTAATTATTTGGAAATTGATTCGTGTGGAGCGACACATTGGTTCAGTTAGTTGTGTTCTGACAATTTTAATGAGCATTTATTCATATAGACAACCGAGTTCTTTACTTTGCCACAAAAAAGCAAACAGAACAAAAAATCCGATACAAATGGTTTTAGTATTTTAAAATTGATTTTATATCAATATATACTTTATATATGTATGTATATATATATACGTCCGCATGTCCTTGTATTCGTACGCCTGGATATTGGATGTAAGTACCTTTACCATGCAACTTAATTCATTTTCAATTAGTCAGCACAACTAGAGTTAACACAATGAACTCTTAATGAACTTTGCCATAATTGCACGTCGAATGCGACCAGTAAAAGCATGTGTAACGTGCTATATATACTACACTCTATCTACTCTATCTAACTACCCTATAGCGCCAGTGGGCTAAGAAAATTATCGAAAAATTTAAGACGATAACGATTTTTTTTTATATTTATTTTAAATTTGATTAAAGTAGAAGAACGCAAGGTCTTTAATATTTCGTTATAGTCACGTTTAGAGTTATCCAAAAAAAAAAAAAAATGAAAACAATAATAATAATAAAAAAAAAAAAAAAAAAAAAACAAAAACAAAATAATAAATAAATAATTGTAGTAGTAGTTAGCCCATAAACAAAATTGGCAATCAAAGGTAATTGACATTGACATTAGGCTTAGGTTTGCTAAACAATGAAATGGCGAAAATAATTGAATATCGAGATGATGCAATTGTTAAAATAAAGATGGTAATGCGGCTGTTAAATTAACTTCGACTAACGCTATATAAATCAAAAGCTAACTAAAGTCGAAACAACATAACACTTACAGCCATCGAATAAAGAACAATCAATATTCATTCACGACATCATATAATCAATCGCGACAACATGATCAAATTTTGTTTTATTCTAATTGGGCTTACAATGGCGTTAGTTGCGGCTGAACCGTTACGTTTTAGAGCATCAAAAAAGCAGTCAATATTCTTAGCGCGACAAGAAGTGCCACCGACTACGCAGGATAGGGCAGCTATTGCACCTTATCCCGCAGCTGGTGTCACACCTGAAATACTATTCGAATTGCCCACAGAAACGGAGAAGCCTGAGCAAACTTATGGTCCTCCAGTCGCAGCACCCGATCAAACCTACGGACTGCCAGAATCAACTACAGACACCATGTTAGAGCCTGACAATACTTATGGTCCGCCAACAACCACTGCAAGCAGTAAGCAGGTTACTAATGAGGAAGCAAGCGTTGAAGAGCTTTCGAATTTAGTACAATCCAGATCAAATAAACAACGTAACCGTTATCGCACCGCTCGGCTAATCCTATCAAAGGATAACATCATTACAATAACGCATTCTAAACCGATTCTCGTGTACACTTTGCAATAAAGTTCTTAAATCAAGTAAGAGCCGCACTGAGAAATGTAAAAATTGTATTTATAAAATTTTAGCCATAAAAGTATTTTGGAATTAATTTTAGGCGAGGGTCTCTTACTTTTGTTTCCTAAATTTCAAACAATTTTGATTTACAAATCGAAGTCATGGCAAATATTCCCAAAACCACGATTCTCTATAAAATATTGTTCATAAACGAAGATATGCATGTGAAGGTTCTCTCTCATAAAAATGCAGTATGTTTTATATATATGTAGAAGAACGAATTAACTATTCTTGCTCTTGTTTTTTTTTTTTTTTCTTAAAAGTTCATTCTATAAATTCTTTATTATTCTTTAAAATTTTTTGTGAAGAATTTCTCGTTAAAAATAGAATAAATGTATAATATGTACGTGTTTAATCATTTCTCCACTTGAAAGACGCATTTATCGAGCAAAATGGGTACAATGTGTATTAATCAAAATAATTTCCGCCAATTTCTACAACTGGTTCCCATCTTACTGCCAACATGGCGAACATGGTCCGTGCAGAAAAAACGATACCAGTCATCATCATCGATCCATTTTCCCATTTTTTCAGCATTCGAAACCGCCTGCCAGCCAAGCCATACTGCGTTAATCTCAACCAGTGGTAACCAAAAGGCGGTGTGTGGTGAGTACGCTGAGTGCGACAGAACATTCCATTCGCGCTGCAACAGTGTATTCCGGACAACTCTTGCAACATGTGGCCGAGCGTTGTCATGCAAGGAGATGCCTTTGCGCCTGTTAACCGCTATTGCTGGTCGTTTTTGCAATTATACATCATTCAATTTGTTCAATTGATGTCCGCACATGTCTGCAGTGACAGTTTCATTCCGTTTTAGCAGCTCGAAATATATTACACCTTGCTAATCTCATCGTAAGCACTATAAAAATTCACGGCTATGAATATTCGGCTTCGGTGTCGATGTAGATGGCTCTCCTGGACTAACCCATGACTTGTTGCGTTTGAGATTGTCGTGGAAGATCCTCGTTTCATCGTCAGTCGCAATACGGCACAGAAAAGATTTCTTTTCTTGTTTGGCAAGTAAAAAAACCTCGGTGTTGAAACGGGTCAAAGTGTCATTTTCAGTCAATTCTTTCCCTTCTTTTGGATCTTTCACA